GGGTGGGAAAGAAGTAAGTAGATATTATCATGGCCTAGGATTTGAAAATGAAATTTGCCCCTCTGTGTAATCTTGCACTTGAGAAAAATGGCAATTATCAGTACTATAGTACTGTTTCATCAAGTCTTTCTTAGAAAGCCCCTATACTCATACCTGCCTCTGGCAAAACCTCTTTACACTTCTTTTAGGGCAGACCTGGAGAGAAGCTGTTGTAGCTCAAAGTTGTGTGAAATTTATAGGAAATGCCTACGGTCACTGTTACAGAGGTCTGGCAGTAACTGCTGTATTTGATGGGGAAAATGAGTAATTTTCCTATCCAGGCAAGGCTCTGACTTTTGCTCTTTCTTTTCAGCTGAAAATATTTAGTTTAAAAGTATAGCAGATGCTGCTTAGATATTTTGTGGACACTTGCTCAGGTACAGCCTTTCATTCACATCCATTTTTCCACACAAAGCAGAACCTTCGGGAGCACCAGAGAACTCCTCCTCCACATCTTCCATAGTTTGTTGCTTTTTTGAGAGCTCTGCTTCACACAGATCACTAAATTTTTAGTCATCAAATCTGCCTCCCTCCATAAGCAACAGCATTTATATGAAGCTGGACAAGGCTGATCTTGGAAGGCTTACCATGGCAATGAAGACAGCAGACTGCCTTTTCTTTTGTTTTGTCTGACTCTTTCTCCTCTAGAACTAAAGGAAAAATGGTAGCCTTGCGTAGGTCCTACCCAGCTTCTCTCCTTTTCTGCTTCTTTGCTTTTCTGTGAGCAAAGTGCTGGGCTAATCAATCCCCAAACTAGTGTTTGCATTTTAAGCCATTTAGAAATCTCCTACCCAGGATATGAAGCCCACTTCTGTAGGGTCTCTTCATCATCATTGTCACACAAATCTGCAAATGCTGCTTCCAGATCTTCTAGCTGATGAACACGGTTTTCAACACAATCCAGCAAGCCCTCCTTTAAATAAGCACATATAAAAGTATATTAGGAAAAAAAGAGGTAAGAATGTCATAGCTTACCCTATGATTTAAATCCTGAAATGACTGATTTACTGGAAGTGGGGAACGAGAAACAACTGATTCGTTACTACAGAACTTCTTTTCAAGGGTATCAGAATGAATGCCTGCAGAAGCTGTTATACCTTCAAAATAAATCACCTCTCTCTGCTCTATCTTTCCCACCACAAATTAAAAATGCCACATCTACGTGCTGGTAGAATACACTGGGGAGACCTAAGAAACTGTATATGACTAATTGGTGGATTTGTTTCTATAGCACTGAAATGTTCAGAATAGTACAAGCTTTACATTTTTATACTGAAAAGAGAATTTAATTTTTTAAGTTTAAAAAAATATTATTAAATCAAATAAATTTTCAGAAAAACAAAACAAAATGGGCTATTTGATGCTTTGAGGTTGTTTCAACTCTGCATGCCTGAAAAAACATGGAATTGATTTAAAATACCAGTTATTGCTCTGGTTCTGCAAAGGTTTACGCCCTTTCTTAAAAAGTTCAGAACACATAAAGAGACAATCTTCTTGGAGTGACACTATATTCATAACCACAGTTGTGCATGCAAACATTTGCAGAAAGAGATCCTATATGACATATAAAATCAAAAGCAATGCTTGGCATATTTGGTATTAAAATGCTCAGTGCAGTGATGTGTGAAGGAAAATTACTAAAAAGCACATTGGAATAGATGGGTAACAATTAAGAACACAACAATTCCCTCTTAGAATTCTGCTGGCTGTGTAATATAACGGATGCTGCTGCTTTTGGCCAGTGACGTGAACTTTGGGCTAATTTTTAAGAGGACCTGAGGGTATCAACCATGTATGAACTACAGCTTATGAGCCTATCCTGGAGTATGAATAAGATAGTTTTCCAAGCAGCACCAGTAATTAACCTTAAACACAAATCCAATCCTCCTCTATACTACTTAAGAACCAAACAAAAAAAAAAACACCTAACAACATGCTATCATCTTGTAGTGTGATAGAAATGTATATCTACCCATACTCTGGAACTACAAAATCAGATTTTAAGAGACTAGACATCTAGGATATTTCCTGAAACTTTGAAAAACATAAGGTTCATTATTTTTCTACCTTAAAACCCTTTAAGTTGACTGTCTCACTATAAAACCATCCATGAATCTGGTCTTGCCTTGTTCAGTTCTATATCTATCCATTACTCACTGTCTGCTAACTATTTCAGTTGCCTCCTATAAACTTGCTGGCTTCTGTAAATAACTTATGCTCTCAAATCATATGGGGAACTTAAATCACAAGCATTTTCCCCTTTTACTACCTTTTAAATAGATAACCGTTTTTATTGCCGATTGACGAAGTGTTGTGGTTTAACCCCAGCCAGAAACTAAGCACCACACAGTCGCTCACTCACTCCCACCCTGGTGGGATGGGGGAGAGAATAGGAAGAGTAAAAGTAAGAAAACTTATGGGGTGAAATAAAGACAGTTTAATAAGGAAAGCAAAAGCTGCGCACGCAAGCAGAGCAAAACAAGGAATCCCTTCTCCACTCCCCATGGGCAGGCAGGTGTGCAGCCATCTCCAGGGAAGCCGGGATCCATCACACCTAACGGTTACTTGGGAAGACAAACACCATCACTGCAAACGTCCCCCCCTTCTCTCTTCTTCCCCCAGCTCTATATGCTGAGCATGATACCATATGGTAGGGAATATCCCTCTGGCCAGCCTGGGTCAGCTGTCCTGGCTGTGTCCCCTCCCAGCTCCCTGGGCACCCCCAGCCTGCTCGCTGGCAGGCCAGCACAAGAAGCTGGACTGTCCTTGACTGCTTAGCAACAACTCAAAACATCAGCATTCATCAGTGTTATCAACATTATTTTCATCCCAAATCCAAAACACAGCCTCACACTGGCTTCTATGATGAAAATTAACCCTGTCCCAGCCAAAATCAGCACACTAAGAAACATGAAAATCAATCTGACAATCTTCTACATATCTCCATTTCTTTATATACACATATTAATCAGGTTTCATTAATAGGTGATAATTTTATGTGTCGAATCTCTCTGTAATAGTGTTCAGATGAGATTACAAAAGCAGACAAGATCTTGTTTAGAAATTAGTTGGTGTGATGACCATTAACATGGCTGTCTCCATGGTTTGGGCTTAGGGATGAATGATTATTTTGGCAGCTACAGCATGCTTACATTTCCATAATTCAGAAGCACACAATGCATACAATGAAAAGTACATTACAGTGGTATAATATTGGAATTTCCACTTCTAAATAGGTAAAATACCAGTTAGGCATTGAGCACAGCTCTGATTATCACGGAAGAGCAACTGTGGCAAAAACCAAACCAAACAACAAAAAAAAAAACCAACCCCAAACCAAAGGCCTGTTGAGCCATAAAAAGAACAAGATTGCAGATGATTATGTTTTAATTTCTTCCTTGTCAATTACCACTCGTTTACCGAAATTAATTTTCACACTCATGCTAAATATTTATACGGTTCACATGTTTAAACAAAATGTTTAATAGGAAAGAACTCCTAAGATGCAGCTGATTAGCATTCAGCATGCTGCATAGCTTAATTGGAGACCACTTCATTAAGCACCTTTCATAGGTTCCTTCCTTGTTGTAACTAATTTTTATTGAGTAAATAAAAAGAATCATTCCCTCATACATTCTCCAAGGAAATAACGTACCTCTGTTGCATTTCTATGAGGCTTCTTGAAATTGTACAGCTCTTGCAAAAGCTCGTATTCTGTCTTTGAAAAAGAAAAAAGAGGCAAAAAATTAGATTCTTCAAATGAGAAACAAAATCCTCAAAGCCCCCCTTCTTTAAAAAAGAGAATTTGATCACTCAGATCATTCCTCTACTCTAGTACTGCAGATACTACTCTCTAATTGCAGATGAGGAAGAGGCTGTGAGGCTTGAGAAAGCAATACTTCATGGCCTCAGCCAAAAATTTTGCAATTGTTTAACTTTAAACCTGACTCCAAGAACACAGCTTTAAAAGCTAAGTATTTACAGTCCGTTAGTTAAAGAGTCTCTGAAATTAAACAGGCATTTTGCTGAGCTATGGTCCCAATAAGATGCTGAGTAAAACTGAGATAGATTTAGGCAGACAAAACCAGCAGGGGAGCATGACTGTAACTGAAAACCAGACAGGTAAAGGCTTCAGGCTGGTTAACCAAGTAAACTATTAGAGGGGCTTGTCAGCCCTACTCCTTGATAATATTCAAGTTTAATTACTTAAGAATAAACAGATCTCATTATTTATTTAACAGCATTCAAAAGGTGAACACTAACGAATTTTTCCGAAGGGAGAAAGAAAAGGTAGACTAGTCAATTTCTACACAAATACAAAGCATCTTTAGGGCAATGTTTTGGATTTTAGACTTTTTTGATGGGAACACAATACTCTTCTGCATTGGTGAACCATATTTGCTTTTTAGTTTTTCCTTGTATTCTTACATTTCAAGTATTAACTTGTGACAACATTTTGGATGTAATTATCATAATTTACAAAAGAGGGAACCTAGTTAAGAAATATTAACTGCAGATGAAATTGTTATGTCAAAAAAGGTACACTGGGTGCTCTGCACAAGCCCACTTCCAAAAATTGTTCCTAGAAATGAGAACCTATCATAGCACAAAACCAAAAAAAAGGCACAAGAAACAAAATTAAAAAAACCACACCACCAAGCCCCCCCTAAACAAAACAAAACAAAAAAATGCCAAAACTCCTCCCTTATTTTACTCAGAATGTATTTTACCTAAGAGAAGTACTGAATTTTATTCTTATATGGCAAGACCCCCACAGTGCTTTCCCTTTGCTGTATGCTACTCTCTGTGATTCAGAACAACTGGCATTGCACATTGTCTGAAGATACTGTGATCATAAATAGTGAATGTCAGAAGCTAACAGAGGTCAGGGACACTATATTCACCTCTTTACGGTGAACAAGGACGCAGTAGTCTAGCTCAAACTTCGAGATGTCAGATGTTCTCCAGCACACGCTGAAGTTAAAACGCTGTTAAAGAGATTTAAATGCTAAAAAGACTCAGGATATGGCAGAAGAATTTGTAAACCTAAATGCCACACCCAATCAGGGAAGATTAGTTAGTTCCTAAAAATCCTGTTCATGTCAAGACAAGCCTCTAACTGCTTTGCGCTTTTGAAGATATACGTATTTATGACTATAGTGGTAAGCTACCTTTGCTGTACAGGCAAGTTCTAAACGGAGCATGAGGCAGAGTCTTAAGCTCAGAGACATGGCACGACAGACAACAGCTTCTTGCTCACCCTTATATGCAGCACTCCAGACAAAAGCAAATGAGAGTAAAAGCCTCTCATCAGGACAAATTACCACTCTTTGAAGGTATAAAATGATACAATCTGTCATTCCTCCCTGATGAATCTTGCTGTGGGTATTTGGAATATTACCTTTGGAAACCTAATCATAGCTTTTATGTCCCAAGCAACATGCAGAAGTGAGCCATACACCTTTGAGCCTGAGTGTGCACTCAATATCTCTCTCAAATATAAGGAGCTACCTCTATTAGGTTGTTGTACTTCTTTGGAGCATACACTCCATTACAATGTCTCTCCTTCAAACATTACCATGATTCATTAATCATGATCAGCTGATATGCTAATTTAGCTAAGATGAAAGTTTCTCCATAGACAAATGGAGAAACTAGTATCAAGAGTACCAAACTGGTACTCTTTTGTGAATGGTAGGAGGCCTCTCCATTGTCATGCTTACCTGTGTGTACATTTCTTTGAACGGATTTTTCACTGAAAAAAAATCTAAGTCAATGTCTAAAACATACGCATCCCCTTTCTGCAGTACTTGGCAGATATCTTTGACAACTTCTGTTTTTGGGCATTCACTGTTTCTGAGAGAGCTTGAAGCTGAGAACTCTGACAGTGCTTCTGCCTTGTTCGGGGCACTTGCATGTTGTACTTCCTTTTTCTTCAGACTTGGGGTGCTGTGATCAAGATCACCAGGAACCACTGATGAAAAGGCAGAAGCAGTGCTTGCTGTGTCATCTCTATTTAGCTTCAGTCTCTTAGCAGATGCTACCTTGCCATTTTCTTCCTGGCTGTTTGATGCTTCAGTAGGGTTGATGAGAATGACGTGTAAATTTAAAGGCTTCTGGTTTTCTAGCTGATCAGCAGGGACATAAAGACCATCACTTAAAAAGTAATGATCAGTGCCTGTAACCCTACAATTGACAATAACTCACAGTTAATATATATCTTTGCAAAGAGCTTAGGAAAAAGCATGTACACTTAAGGGATTCTGAGAAGAATGAATAGATCATTGATGGGTAACAAAACAATAAAACTGTGTGCACAAAATTACTTATTTTAATCTGCAAGCTTTTAAAGTGAAGTTTTTAATACTTCTTTATTGCTGAGTCAACATAGTAAAATTCACTCTATATTTTTTATGATAGCCCTACAAGGTTTTTCATGGATAAGAAAAAGATTGTACATTACGTGCCACTAACATTAATTTGCCGTTGAAGCGTATTTTAAAGACAACATTCAAAATTTAACATGGTATTGTCAATATTACGGCATATAAGACTGCAAAGCTACAGATATTTTGTCGTGGATTGCCTATTTTTTAAGGAAAATTCTTGTGTTTGAGAATTACCCTGAAACCCATGGATATTGATTTAATAAAAGTAAAATATAATGAATTAATACGTATCATTCAATTTTTCTTTACCACGGATATAGATTCCCTGTTCTAAGTGGGGGAGAACAGGTAGCTCGAGGATGAATAGCTATATATCAATAGAATCCACTTAATTAAAAGCAAACAAACAAAAACCAACACTAAAAACTCCACTTACAGTGAAAATTTAAAGAATATTATTTTCAAGCCATATTTCAGTACATTAAACCTTAAGCATCATAAATTCAGATTAAAAAACAAGCTTAAGAAGAAGCATGAACCTCTGCTCACTTGTGTTATTTAATTACAGGGCCTTATTTAGTTACAGGGTATCATCATCAATCTACCACAAAGACAAATAATTTCATAAGCAACAGAAATTTGAAGCCTAGTTCCCCGTGTCTTGTGGCTGGATTATCCTAAGCACGCCAAGGTGAGAGCCTGGATCACAACTTCATCTTGCTGATGGATCATTCACAAGGCCTCTTCTCTGAAATTCTCCAAGGTTCAACACGAGCTCAGGCTACAGCCCTTCCCTTAGTGGGCCACTAACTAAGGTATCTATTGCCTATCCAATCACCTGTTGTCAACAAAACTTTTAGGAAATTCCTATTTCTCCCTTTCTTCCTTCATGATTTTTGTAAGCCTAGAACCTGAAGAAAAGATACCTGACCATCTTCAAAAGGCAGCTTGAAACGTTGTTTTCAAGATTGCTAAGGCAACCAGAGGATCTGTGGGAGAGCTATTCAGCCATCATGAAGTATTTCCCTATGTGTGCTAGTTCTCATGGTTAAATGTAACTGAAAGCATTAGCTTTCGTCTTATTATTTCCATTTACTTTAGGCCTCAGATTCAGAATTTTAGAGCTTCTGTGTTTTTACACGGTAAAACAAAGCATGTCTCAGCTGTCTTCTGTTAAACTTCCTTCAAAAAATTTATTCTGATATGCTGGCAAGAGTCGTGATTTGTAAACGTCTATTAAAGCTGTATAAAAATCACAATGCAGTGAATATGGTGAATGTGAAATTGTCACTGACTGCATCCTGCAGAATTACACGGAGCTGTCACCAGAACTCGAATCACAGAATGATTAAGACTGCAAGGAACATCTGGAAGTCTCTTATCAATCATCTGATGAAGCAGAACTAATTTCAAAGTTAGATGAGGCTGTCCAGGGCCTTGTCCAGTTGAGTTTTGACTTTATCAAAGAATGGAGAATTCTCTTCCTGCCTGTGTAACTGCTTCAGAGCTTAACTAGTAGATTAACTTGGAAGAAAAAAAAAAAAAAGAACACAAACCTAAACAAACAAAAACCAGCAAAAAACACACAAGAGAAAAACAGAATCATCAAGGGAAGTGAAGAGACTTCTCCTCTTACTCAGCACACATTTGACATACTCTGCCCAGGTTTGGGCCTCCAGGACAAGAGAGATGACAACAAAATGAAGAAAGGTTGGTAAGCTGATGGGAGGGCTGGAGAACATGACAGGGAAGCTGAGGGAACTGGGTTTGTTTTGTCCTGATAATGGAGGACTGAGAAGGATTTAATTGCTGCCCTCTGGTATCCAAATCCTCTGTTAAAAATTACTGCTTTCTGAGATTTTTACTATAACGTACATAAGTAACTTAAAACTTGGGTAGCTGAAATGAAATGCAAATAGCTAGAATTACCTATTAAAAAAAGAATTTAAGGCACAATTTCAACTGTATCCACTCACACAAATAGTCAGTCACATTAGGCCCTAAGGAACTCACAAATACAAATTAAACTTTCATGCTTATCCAAGAATACAAAAAAACCCCACCCATGAAAAGCTACAGAGATAGCATTTATATTATTACCATATGGCCGCAGACAATTTACCTGATTGTAGTTGTTGATATGTCTTTCCCAATTAAAAAATGGTGTTTTCCTTCTGAGATCTGCTGAGCCCAGGGTGGGTGAAGCCATACTACTTGAGAAATATGGCCAGCATAAACAGCAGGCATAATCCAGTTCTCAATACTTAATTCACTGCAATAAACGGAGAAAGACTGGAGATAATACTGTTACTTTCCCTGTAAGTAAAACATGGTTGGTCAAGAACACAACAAACATCTTTCACATCTTGAAAACCCCCATGCAAATCATCTGAAATTAGTACTCTCTGTAAGGCTCACATCACCAAAGAAACAAGAGGAGGGAAATCTTTATTCATAAGACAGACCAAGAATATCTACAGTAGAATTTAAAAAGTTAGGATTATGGAGTGCAACCAGCTTCACTCTTATATTTGCTTATAGTTGATTATAAACTACATGGATTTGTTGTCCCTTTTCTCTTGATACATCACAGAGAGGAAAGTACAAGGAGCATCAACAACACTGTTCTAAATAACTTCAAACCGACCTCAAGGGAGTATTTTACTGTAAATTGCTCTAAGTACATTTTAAATATAATCTCAGTAATTAAAGTGAGTCAATTAGCACCTACAGAACAGCAACTTTCCTGATTATCAACACCCCTTTTTTTTGGTGTGTGATATAGCCCACAAAACTTCTTATTCATCCAACAAAGAAAACAAAATATTGACTATGGGTATCATGATACAATTACTTACATACCAATGACATCATCTTGTCATTGCTGTAAATCACTGTAACACTGAAGAAATCAATACTTACTTTAAAACAGGAAAAGAAAGACAATTAGCAAAGATTACTCTATGGCTTGTTACCTACCTAAGAAGTTGGGGGAAAATATTGGTCTTAATGATCTTAATAGGAAAATCTTGTTCAGCTTCACATATTCACCATGTCAACATAGGAGATATTATTTCAATATCGAAGTTAATTTTTCAGTATGAAGAGACAAAGGCTGCTTTGAAACCACAGCTCTTCAGACACAGAGCATCCACTCAGGGTGCTGTCCTGTTACTCAGAGGAACTACTAATTGGCCTAATAACGTGATATACTACCGAACAACTAAAAAAGTAAATTCTAAGTCTCAAATGGCTTGATATGCAACTTAAATATTTGACCACATTCAGAAACCACAAACCACAAACCCTTTCTCATCCAAAACAATAAAGTTTTCATCAAAAGTTAAGACATAAGATAGAACTTGAGGCTGACTTACACCTCTTTTGTTCGTATGTCCTACGCAGTCACACCAATGTTCACTGTAAATCAAAGGCAGCAGGAAACAGAACAGGTGTTCTGATGCAGTACCCAGGACTTACCTAAAAAGAGCTTCTTTGTCAAATACAGTGTCTGCAGGCATATTCACAGGAATAAGAAGGTCTGGGTGGGAATCAAGATGAACAAAGCTGATGTTACTGACAGGAAGATGCTTTGAACCAATGGCACGATAGATGAAAGGCAGCACCTAAAACAACATGAATAAAAATATTTCCATTGGAACCAGTGAGCTGAAAAATGCGATAACTTTAACAGCAAAAACACTAGTCCCACTCTCATTCCTTTAGAATTCAGGTTAGAGGGAGGAGGAAATGGAAAACTATACAAAGGAGAAACAACTCCAGTGGCAAGACAGCTCATGAATTGGAATCATTATGAGCCCAAGAATTTCACACGTGAGAAGCTGCTGAAGAATCACAGCTCTACTCCCTCTTTCCTTCTTTATAGGAAGTCTTGTTTGCAGAAGCTTTTCTCACTAATTATTCAACTCAATTCCTAGTTTTTTTCATTTATAACTGAACCCCAGGAACGCCTTTCCTCATCTGCAGAACATTGCCCCTGCATTGCCTTCTCCATGCTATACAGCTTCCTCACCATTGCATCAGTGCTGTGGAGATAAAAACATCTCATTACTTGTGTTTTGTAAGTCGACTGACAGAGAGTGAAAACTGACCCCACCATCATTTAAACTGTAGCCAATCTTTTAACCTATCCCCCTTGAAGAAAGGGTTTAATTCCTAATTCCTACATGATTTACTGGCTGCAATAAAGAGACTACCTTTCTCAACTGCCCAATCTTATCCCCTGCTGAAGGTCTTCACTCAAAGGTGGGAAAAACAGGAGTTGAGGCAACACATCCATTTATAGTGTAACAAACCACTGAAGTGCAATAATGTAGGATGGTACAATGAGAAAACTGATGGCTGATTCATGATACCTCTTATACAGAACTGCAGTACACAGAGTCCTTCCTACAGTTATGGGACAGTAACTGCCTTAGCTGCCAGAACAAATCCAGCAAGGATTGTGAAACATAGCCCTTTTACACAGGGAATGTGAAGTCTGTAAAAGGACTGAGCAACAAAAATTACACATGATCTCTACATTACAACAGAAATTGAGTAATTTTTTGGCGTAAAACTGATTAAGATGACAAATCTCGTGTACTGCATGGGCATAACCATAAAACATGATTGAAATTTGGACAGCTGTATTCCATCTGTCTAGTAATAAATTCCTCAGTTTACCCATTACATATGCAGTTATATGCATAATGCTGTAATAGTAGATAAAACAAGGTTAAAAATAACAAGTGTTCCCTGATCCATAAGTTTTACTTCTTTGGAAAAAAGGAAGCAATCTGGCCTACCTAAAATCCTACAATCTTTGCAATTAAAGTTAACGATTCATCTCAGGTGTTACTACAAGTCATGACACTAGGAGAGGATGGAGGAAGACACAAGCAACCAGGATCTCTAACCTTGCAAGTTCACCTGCTTTGGATTAAGAACAAAATTTCCTTTACACCAGTTGTTATTATGAATCAAAGTATGATACACCTAGCGACACCTTGCTCTAGAGGAACATAAGTGTCAGCAAAGGACCGTATAAAGTTTCCATGAAGTTCTTGCATGTTGGGATGAAAGTCCATATATGCTTTATGCAACATAGACCAAGGCATATACACACATATACTGAAAACACAGCTTATATATATTTAGTATGAATAGGCTTTTTTAAGTTAATTGAAAACAGAAGTATAGAGAGTAACATTAATAGTCATTATTGCAGTGCTCCTATCACAGTGATGCTCTTAGGGCTTGGTTACCACAGAAAACCAGCTATCACAGCATCATATAATTCAGTGAGTCTTAGCAAAAATGACCTGTGTTAAACTATTTACTTACAGGTTCAGAACATTATTTTCTTTAATAAACTTTATTACACTAAAATCTTCTGTTTACAAGACACTGATAGTGTTAATATTTTTCACTTTTATCACCATAAGGTCTTCATGCCCCCAGAAATCCTTACTGAAATCAGCAGGCTCCTGCACCACTGAGTGAAGAATCTGCTTTCATAGGACTAAGGCCTCAACTTCCGCTACTATAGACAAACCATATGGGAAACCAGAAAAAGCAGTTCAAAAGCAACTCCTTCTTCACCCCCTTGTTTAAATACTTGACTACAAAAAGAAATTTCCAAATTTAACATTTCTCATCAAGTGGCAGAATGTAATGTGATTATATTTACCAAATTGCTGTTGACATGTCAGACACTGTGTAGGGCTGAGTTTCCAAGTACTGCACCGATACCTAGCTAATTTTAAGAGCAGTGTAATGTAGGTATTATTTCCTTTTAACTATAGCACCGATGACCCAAAGAAAGGGAAAAAAAAAGTCAGCAATAATTGGTTAAAAAGATGCCAAAATCCGACATTAATTAACTTGAATCACTGAATCAGGACGGACATTCAGGTCACCTGAGCACTAAGCTTCATTTACGTTTAATTACTGAAGGAGAAGGCAGGTTTAAGGTCTGCGCGTGGCTGTGGAGGCGAGGCCCGTTCCCAAGGAAGCGCCGGAGCGGGCAGGCCCCGGTTACACGGCGGAAAGGTGCATCCTCCCGGGCGGCGGCCGGCGACTGCACGGAGGATCCACCGGGCACCTCCTTTCGC